TGGGCCACAGAAAACACAATCAGGTGGACTGTGTGTTCGTTTGTCACCCTATCTTATAAAAAGCCTTCTTTGCTGAAAGTTGGCTGCAAGCGTTGATGGACTTTAGAAGCCAATTACTATATTGTAGAGAGTCACTTCAATTTCATGCATAAAAGTTCTAAATAATCATTAGGAACTACTGCTTTACGTAATCCTATAAACATAAGTTGTATCATCCATATTTTAACAACATATTCTGTAAACCAATAAATACCTATATAAGAATGTATTAAGTATGACAGCGTTCATGTGACTCAGTAATCAACGTCCTAAATTCCTACTAATTTGAAAGTTCTGAATGAAATGCATTACGTAAATCTCTGATGAAACGCCACACTTATGAAAATTATTTCCGAAACTAAATTAAGACTTACTGAAATAAATGTTAATTGCAGTCTACTCATGCCTTTCCCTGGTTAGTATAATATACAATATAATATGATCAATAAAGATAATTATTATCAAATTATGCTTATAGTTTCGTGAACACTTGAAACTGATTTTAAAAAACTCAAATATCGCGTCAGTCTGGTCGCGCTACATGTCCCCTGATAGTGGGTGGCGCGAGACAGCACGGCCCGCGAATTCTCCTTAGCGGATTACTAAAGCGGACACGCCGCAGAATAACCTAGCTCTTAAAATCTCCTCCATTCATAACCTCGCGCTTGCGTCCTCAAACCGGTAAAGGTTCCAGCTAAAAATATTTTTTATTCTAAATATAATTTGTAGTCGAAACTTACTTGTTGCGTAATCATTGTTGACGTCATACATAACCTTCGTTTAATGTTCAGGGAGGAAGTTGTTAAATTCTTACAATAAAGATAAATCAATTCACTGCATCAATATTTACAGTGCAACTGCATCACTTATCATACAAACAAGTTATTTACTTACAGTATTTAATTAAAAAACTTTACTTCACTGATAAAGAACGAATTAAAAATAAACAATTACCTGGAAACATATTATATTTATAAGCATTATAGATTTGGCAAATTCATGTCATCAGTTGCCTACATTTTTAGTTAAACATAAAGATTTACAGTTTAATCATAATCATTACTTACAAGTCTATTATTGTCTGGACTGACATTCGACATGGTTTTCTACAATGTGTCAAAATCCCTGATCTTTTCTGTTTCGTATCTTATGAATGAGAAATGGGTAGGATTGCTTCTATGCCTTTAAATCCGTCTGGGTAAGAAACACTATCTTACTACTATTTACTATTTCTGCCGCTAAACGTCAGTGAATCCACTATTGAATTACGGTTTGAATACTAAAGTCTGTCTGTCCATTCCATTTTTGTCCAGGGTAATTAAAAAGAACCTTGTGATTATCTCGTTGCCAATTCGAAATGGAATATTATTTAAATATTATAAAATACTCGTGGGGTGATGTGGAGTTATAGACCCAAATACTAGGTGTGTTCTAAATATAAATAAATAAGCTCCAACATATAGCGCCATCTCGTGGACAATAGCAAAAATGCAAAATGTTCGTAGCACTGAACTCGTTGAATTCTTTCATTAAGGGGCTACTGTAAAAATAAATGGTTTCCAAAATATTAATTTAACGAAATAAAAATTAATTGGATATTTATTAAACAAGTAAATTTGGAAAATCTGGAAAGTTGTTTTATTAAATACGCAAAATTTAATTTAAAAATTAAGTTATACGAATAATATTATTAATTTTAATTCATTTATAAATTTCCTTCAAAACTTCTAAGCTCAGTAGCAACATGGAAGATGAAAATCGCGACATTTCGAATAAATCTTACCGCTATCAACCGTTTGTTTTGGGAATTAATTATTACTTGCGTTTACTTCGTAGGCAACTTTCGAGGAGAAGTTTCGCCGCGATCTTCATTCTACAGATATACCTTGTTTCTTTGATTCAACATAGAAATATTAATTTTTAATCAGTATCTACAACTTTATACACATTACCTTTTGGAAAGTTATTATTATACATATCCATAGAAATGCATATCGTTTAAAATTTAACGAATAATATAGAAAATAGCCAACCCTTTTATTTTAATTTATTCCTACAAAAAAAACTCGGAAACCCATAAATGTGAATCAGTACACTAACAATCTCCAACTGCACAAGTTTTTTCTCACTTATCGATGGTGTTAAAAAAAATTAACTAAATTTGTAACCGCGTTTGATTCCCGCACCAATAAAACTGATGGTTGCAATTGTGAACGCTAATCTACTACTTGCTCTGCGGTAAAGGAAATCTACCTGCATGATTGTAAATTTTTTTAAGGACATGGTAAGTCAACAGACAAGAAAATAGATCCTTTTCTGCAACAAGAACCCCTTTAGAAACGAGAGGAATTGTGTCCAGCTTTTTCATTTTTATGAATCAAACTAGAATCCACTGGAACTGATATCGTTTGATAGACTACACGTATCCTCATAGTATATTTTAATTTTCTTACTCAGATATTGTTAATTACAGTGTTCTACTCTTCAGTAAATTAAAAGATTCATAAATAATCCTCGTGGTAACAATAGAGATTGCGTCAGTGTTTGCGCCCACACTCCTGCATTATAATCCTAACTTACGTACATGCCTAGTCTTCACTGAGACTGGTTGCCATGACTTGTATTATTTTTGTCATTAGCACGAACAATTCTGCGGACATTGTAGGCATATTGACCTTTCCCGTTGCAGGGAGGACATGACGTCACGTTTGGCAGGCGGGTTGGCAATCGTAATACCAGACGATAGCGTTACTTCCCGTCATCGTTATGCACATTTTGCGCCTTGCATAGACGTCATGGGTATACCGCAGTCTATTGAAAACCGCGCTAAATCTGTTTTGTATATCATATCATACACTCGCCTGTTAAGACGCTTAGGGAACGAAAGAGATGAGACCATGTTGTATATTGTATATGTCGCAGGTGTATGATAAAATCAGGTTTTTGATCAGAAACCTAGTGATTTAGTTTTGTAATAAATTCAACCTAACCTAACCTAAGCTTAAATTTTATCATAAACCTGACAAATAGAAACCCACATACACAGACCTTACCCTGCATTGTGGCGCTCTTAGATAGGAATCTATGGTCTTCATCATTGGATTTGTGACGGTCAACAATAATGATGATGATTTCTACTACTTCTTTTCAATGATTTCAATATTTTTCTTTTTTCTTTATCCGCCCGTAAGGTCCACAGTTGAACACGGGCCATCATCGATGCAGGAAGAATCTTACGTTAATTAACACAATAATATCGCAAAAGTATCTCTACGTTTATAAAATGAAATGTTGATTCAAGCAAATAGGTACAACTGCGAGAACAATGTGAACGAAAGTGAGGCAACGTTTGTGTAACTTTTGCTAACTTCGAAGTTTATAACGTGAAGTACTAAATCAAAAGCACCTATTTCCAAAGTTAGTTGTGAAATAGTCGATGAATTATGAGTGCAAACTCTCAAGTTAACAAGCATCTGATAGCAAAGTGCGGGCGGATGAGCCGGAGCGCACTCCGATAACGAGGAGGCTACTGAAACTGCGCAGCAAACAAATTTACCTAATTTGATTTCATGCGATAGTCTTTTAAATTCTTAAACCCTCTTAGATAGCTTACAATAAATTTAAAGTTTACAATTATTATGCTAAAGAGAATTTTGTTGCGATTAATAATTGTAAGGAAGTTACGATATCCTTACAAAGAGAGAGATCTATGCCCAACAGTGTTCTCTTACGAACGGATGAAGAAGGAGAAGAAATATAGAATGGCAAAATTTTAGGAAGATTAGGCTTCAAATATTCTTTGAATTCAGAAAAAAAAAGAGTTTTATTGTTCGAACTTTACTAAATTAGAAGTGTTTCCAACATCTCAGACCGATATAGAAGTACAATACATTTTTAATGTTTTTTCTAAACGTTATAACGGGTTGTTAAACATTGACGTTTATTTTCTAAACGTTATAACGGGTTGTTAAACGTTGACGTTTATTTTCTAAACGTTATAACGGGTTGTTAAACGTTGACGTTTATTTTCTAAACGTTATAACGGGTTGTTAAACGTTGACGTTTATTTTCTAAATGTTATAACGGTTTGTTAAACGTTGACGTTTATTTTCTAAACGTTATAACGGGTTGTTAAACGTTGACGTTTATTTTCTAAACGTTATAACGCGTTGTTAAACGTTGACGTTTATTTTCTAAACGTTATAACGGGTTGTTAAATGTTAAAGTTTATTTTAGGGCATCTCCCTGAAACAATGAAGTTAAATGGAGATAAACGAAAAATTAATAACTTTATTGATTGGTTTAACAAAATCTTTTTAAAATTTTTCATCATCTACAGCCTTCACAATTCCAGTGCTGAACGTAGTCCTCCCCCAAGGAATACCACAAAGCACTGTCTTGAGCCACCTGCATCCATCCACTTTCTGCATGTCTTACCAGGTCGTCACTACATCTAGTGGGGGGTACGCCCTACACTTCTCCTGCCGGTACGAGGATGCCACTTGAGAACCTTTTTTCCCCATCGGTTATCGGTTCTTGGTGCTATGTCGGTCATTCTGGTTCTACCGCGGATATTCTCATTCCTAAGTTTATCAAGGCGAGAAACTCAAAGCATAGCCCTCCATAGCTCCCTGAGCGACTTTGAGCTTCCTCATACGGCCGGCAGTGAAGAAATTAGAATTCTTAAGCTATCTTATTTTATAAATAGCTTTAGAATTAGGTTTATTACTGTGGTTTATGTACCAGTAGGAACTTTTAAATTAAATAAACTCTGTCTATTCGCCAAATCGGAGAATTTTAACGTAGGCGAGTTTACTTATGTACTCGTATGCTACAGTTGATTTATTTTTCGTATTTTGGTTCTAGGACAAATGTCAAATAAATTCCAAGGAGTCAATTCTATTTCTACAAGTTAATTAGTATCTGGTGACTATACTGTGAACTTTTTGATTCCTTTTCAGGTGAAGAAGCTCTAGAAGGCCTAGAGGGCTTGCATTCCGATGAAACGGGCTCGGGAGACAACTCAAATGCAGGCTCCAGTGGCGCGGATGATGACGCCGCGCGACTGCGGCTTAAACGAAAGCTACAACGGAACCGCACTAGCTTCACTAATGAGCAGATCGACAGCCTGGAAAGAGGTGTGGAATATTACTTAATTATCATTAACCTCAGAATTACAAAGGAAGATGAAGCGCTGCGTATATTTATAGTGACGTCGAAAACAAACCAAAACCATGCTTAACTTTATGTAAGAGCACACACTAACGCATTTGAAATAACTTCTAACCATATGTTTGAGTCCAGAACTAGAATTTTACGAGTTGTTAAAAAAGAAAGAAGAAATGTGTGTGTGCGTGAGTGCATGTCAAAAATTAGACATATAGAGTACCATATAGGCTAAGAAGTGACAACGTAACTGGTGCCTTTCTTATTATGGCTACAGGAGTCACTGACCATCAGGTGTCAGGTGGACTGTAAGGTTATTTATTTGTCACTTCAGATTTAAGAATAGAAATGGTTTCGGTGTTATTGAAATTTACGCAGCGCTCCGTATACGAGTATCTTTTTTTGTTGGCCTTAATTATTAACATGAAAAGCTTTACGCTATACTATGTTAAGCTTAATTTTAGAACACGCTAAAACAAGTTGCCTGACGCTGGCAGATTCGATTTCCGCACGGAGCAAGTATTTGACATAGCGATATTTGTTGCCACCCGAACCTGGTGTTCGTTCATATTATATGTAAGAATGGTAACAAGTCTCTACGATATTAAAAAAATATGTACGTATATTGTATTGTAAGTGACGAGAACCAGAGATGCTTTAATTGGTAAATGTATCTGAAGTAAGTTTTCAACCGACTTCAAAAAAAGGATGGGTTCACAATTCGACTGTATTTTTTTAATGTGTTTACTTAATTTTTTTTTATTTGAAAGCTGGTGCTTCTCGTGTAGTCCCATATAAATTTTAACAAGTTCTGACCAGTAGTTTTTAAGTTATTCTTAATAAGTCCTATTTGATTGACTTCAACTACATTGATGATGTTCTCATTTTATTTATATTGAAGTCGTTTGTACAATTTATTTTTATTTTACCACTTGTTTTAAATATTATATGAGTGACGAAGGAGCATACAGTCCACCTAACGGTAAGCGGATGCTATGGCCCATAGAGTTCTACATCTACTTTCGATTAGGAATCAAAATGCATATACGCTGTCATCCCTCAGGACCAAGATGGAATGCCTTCGTTTCCAGTTAAAAGGGTTTCTGATTCTTCACCTTCACCATGTGAAACAAAGCAGCATTAAGCTGGTATACATTATTATATATTACATATATTTACGCATACACTACACACTTAAATATAACTAGTTTTTACGGATTTTATCGCGTATATTAAGTTTTTTTTATATTTTCGACGTTTCCGGCACTTTACAATTTGAAATTTCATTTTGAATAGAGAAGATGGCTGGGCGCTACCATCTGCTTGGATCCTATAATTAATAAAATTAAATCCCATCTCAAGCATACAAGTGCAAGACGTCAAGATACTATACGTTCGTACTGTATAAATCGGGACAAAAATTAATAATTTTAATCTGTGGGTAACCGCGGTTAACTAGGACATCTGGACCTTAAACACCTTAGTCCTCCTTGTTACCATGGGTGCTGTAAAGTGCTCAAAACGTCGAGAATATAAAAAATAGTTAATATACGCAATAAAGTCCATAAAAAGTAGTTTTATTTAAATAAAGCTAGTATTTTACGTTGGTATTCTGTGAGATTGTAATTCTTTTCCGGTCGAGCTGACATATTTGTGTTTCCACCATAACACAGCTGCAGCGTGGCTCTACCCCTTAAAAGAGGTATTATTATTTATTCTGTGTCTGTGGTCCTAACATAGCTAGTACTCACATCCAATAACCTTGTTGGCTGTGTTTTTGTTTTTCACCTGTATCTGTAAAAAAAGTTTACTCTTGATAAAATAATTCTCTAAATATTTCAATAATTTTGTTAATAAACTTTGTCAGAGTTCGAGCGAACCCACTATCCAGATGTCTTCGCTCGGGAACGACTCGCAGCTAAAATAGGTCTACCTGAAGCTCGGATACAGGTGAGTCTAACCACATTTTCGTGTAATTATTTTTATTATTTTAAGTTTTACTAGGTAATAGGACTCCTTATCTGCCTATTCTGTCGTGTTCCGGTCGGAACACTACTATGTTCCGGTCGGAACACTGTGTACCGGTCTAAAGGGAGAGCCAATATAATTACAGGCTGTAAGGCATTCCAACTTAGTTCTTAAAGGTGACAACGCATCTACATCCTTATTTGTTCGAGGTTGGTAGCAGGTGTCCTTGAACTGCAATAGCCACTCACCATCAGGTGGTCTGTAAGTTTGTTTTTCCATTCGATTTTTTTTTTTAAATTCTAATTATTTTTTCTATTTTTTTTTTATTGTTTTTTCTATTATATTATTTATCTATTTATTTTTAAAGTATTTTTTTACGTGGTAGAGCCATGCTGCAGTTATATTAGAAGTATAGTTGTAGCACGAATGGGTCGGCTTGACCGGGGAAGGACACCGCTCTCACAGAATACCAGCGTGAAATAGTAGCTTAACGCTGCTGTATTTCGTATGGTGAGTGTAGAGAACCGGAGACTCTTTTTACTGGAAACGAGGCATTCCATCTTAGTTCTTACGGGTGACAACGCATCTGCATCTTTGATTCGTAATCGAAGATAGATGCAGATGTCCATGGGCCACAGCAAGCCACTTACCATCAGGTGGACTGTGTGCTTGTTTTTCACCTATCTTATATAAAAAACTAAATAAATAGTAAAGTAAAGCTACAGCCTTTATACTTCTCACGCCTGAACACAGGCCGCCTCTCATTTCTGAGAGGGCTATTGAGCGTTGCTTCAGTGCGTGTTGGCAGACTTCTCATCACTTGCCTCATGTTTTGGGATCGAGATATGACTCCCATGACTCTCCCCCTAGATCCGCGCTAATTTAACATTTAAATTTTATTTCATTCAAAAACTTAAAACTGATGTAATTTTTTTTTATATTTGTATTATGTTCGTGTTAGGAGTGGTTCACGACAGTACTCGAATGGCAGATTCGAACCCACGACATTTTGATTTTGCCGCACTCTAAAATTTAGCTACTGTCGCTTTACATTAATTAACAACAATCGTATTATCAGAAGTACTAGAGTCTGTAATACGTAAAAAGTGACAGCCTCCATAGGTCTCACTGATGGGTAATTTTTTTGGTTAAAACATCCACCCATTTAAATGCATTTTTAAATTTGAAATATTTTTAACGTCAGTTGACTCGACCGAGAAGGACCACGCTCTCACAGAATACCAGCGTAAAATAGTAAATTAATGCTGCTGTGTTTCGTACGGTGAGTATAGACAACTGTAGACCCTTTTAACTGGAAACGAGGCATTCTATCTTATTCCTCCGGGGTGACAACGCATCAGCATTCGATTCTTAATCGAGGATGGATGTAGATATCCATGGGCCACAGCATCCACTTACTAGTAGGTGGACTGTGTGCTAGTTTGTCAACTTCATCCTTTAAAAAAAATTTCTTAATTTCTCAGACATGCAGGATTTGTTCTGGTTTTCCTTCACTATCAAGTACGTGGTAAATCAACACTAGAAGCTGCAATTGACAATCATATTTGTGGCCCCGGAATCGATCACGCTTTGCTCGTATTCCATGAAATAATTAAATTTCTGATATTAATAAACTCCCTGGTTGGTCTAATAGTCTTAAAAATACAGTTGCTGATCATGAGGCTTATAAACTTATAATCTCAGATCGAATGTTATTGGGTTTTTCTTAAAAGAAATTCTCAGTAGGGAGTCTTCTTACTCTCTCTGACAAAGTTACTCCCGTGTCTCGGGAAGCACGTAAAGACGTTATTCCTGCGTCTTCTCTTCCCGGTAATGACGGGTTACCGTCCGATCGGACTACTCGTATGAAAGTGAAGCTGCGTTTATGTGCGTACACGTATGTGCAAGCAGAAATGGCCTGCACATACACTTACGTCCTTTCCAGCGTATATGGAGAGTCCGCGTTGCGACTGGCCGCTATAACCGTATTTTGATCTAGAGAACATTATTAGTGAACTGATTATTTATTTAAAGTAGAGTATAGGTATTTCCAGAGCGACTCCATATAATTTTCAACCAGATCTAATAATCTAGCGAGTCGACCCATGATAGTTAAATCAAATAGATTTAATTATCAAGGCTCGGCTTGCTCACACAGAACACCATTGTAAAATAGCAACAGTGAACCGGAGATCCCTTTTTACTGGAAACGAGCATCTTAGTTCTCAATGGTAATAACGCATCTGTATTTCGATTCTTTATTTGTTTAGACTAGACGTATCTATATGCTTATGGGTCTCAGCATCCACTTAACATCAGATGGAGTGTGTGCTCGTTTTTCATCCTAAGTCCATTAAAAAACACAACTATAAAATTATAAGGCTTACCGCTATTATACAATTATTACCAATTCGAACTTGAGACCCTCCGTAAAAACGTAGTATTAAATATTATTTCATAAATACTATGCGTCGCCAAACAAGCGCGTAACTATCGCGCGTGTTGTTAACATTCGCCGACCTCAAGGTGTGGTTCTCGAATCGTCGTGCGAAGTGGCGGCGCGAGGAGAAGATCCGGTCGCAACGACGTAGTCCCGAGTGCGCGTTCGCTGCGCAGACGCACGCGCCTACGCATCCGACGCATCCCACGCATCCGACACATCCCACGCACCCGACGCATCCCACGCATCCGACGCATCCCGCGCATCCGTCGCATCCGACGCAACCTCCGCATCCGACGTATCAGCCGCCTCTCAATGTTGATACTTACAGGTTTGTTATTTACTAAGTAATAAAAAGTTTTTTTTTTAATTTTTATTATTGTGTTGTTATTTTTCAGGATATTGCTATCACACATTCCCTATTTCGATCTTTCTCTGTCGCCTTTATACTTACGATGATATGATGTCCACGGGATGATTGGGGTAGTTATGCTTAAGCGGGGCGCGACGTTGTTGCTATGCTTTTTGGCTGAGACGCAATGTAATTCGAGTATTACCTATAAATATAAAATATGGTTGAGGTTGATGCCCCTTGTCGCCTCTTACGACACCCACGGGACGATATGGGGTAGTGGATATTCTCACACCCTTATTACCACATTTTAATTATAGTTATTTATATTTTTGTAGATGTGTAATTTTCAGTTTTAACCACACGCCTTTGTAAACGTGGAGTTTTATTCACTAAAACTGTTTTCGACCTCGCTTCAGCCCCCTCAATCCGATGGGCTATGGAGGTGGGATATCGGAGGCGGCACTATGCGAGGGCGGCGAGGCGGAGCTGTGCAAGGGCGGCTTCGGCGGCTACCCGCGCTACGAGCTGGGCTACCGCGCGCCGCACGCCTACGTCAACCACAACTACCAGCACGAGCCCACCTCGCCCACGCCAGGTAACTATCCACCTCGCCACCCTCAGGCTACCGCGCGCCGCACTCCTACGTCAACCACAACTACCAGCACGAGCCCACCTCGCCCACGCCAGGTAACTATCCACCTCGCCACCCTCAGGCTACCGCGCGCCGCACGCCTACGTCAACCACAACTACCAGCACGAGCCCACCTCGCCTACGCCAGGTAACTATCCACCTCGCCACACTCAGGCTACCGCGCGCCGCACGCCTACGTCAACGACAACTACCAGCACGAGCCCACCTCGCCCACGCCAGGTAACTATCCACCTCGCCACACTCAGGCTACCGCGCGCCGCACGCCTACGTCAATCACAACTACCAGCACGAGCCCACCTCGCCCACGCCAGGTAACTATCCACCTCGCCACACTCAGGCTACCGCGCGCCGCACGCCTACGTCAATCACAACTACCAGCATGAGCCCACCTCGCCCACGCCAGGTAACTATCCTCCTCGCCACCCTCAGGCTACCGCGCGCCGCACGCCTACGTCAACCACAACTACCAGCACGAGCCCACCTCGCCCACGCCAGGTAACTATCCACCTCGCCACACTCAGGCTACCGCGTGCCGCACGCCTACGTCAACCACAACTACCAGCACGAGCCCACCTCGCCCACGCCAGGTAACTATCCACCTCGCCACACTCAGGCTACCGCGCGCCGCACGCCTACGTCAACCACAACTACCAGCACGAGCCCATCTCGCCCACGATAAGTACTGATCAAAACTAACTACACTCACTGCGTCCAATGAATGGTGCTGACAAAACGTGGCAAATCCACGCTGCCACTGCAGCTGCAACGCGAGAGACATCCAAAGAAAGACCTTACAGAAAGAAAGACACTGCCATTATTTGCCGCCAAATAACAAAACGGGCACTCCGTAAGGGTATTAATATGGCAGTTAGTCCTCTGCGCTGCTCTCTCTCTGTGTTGCCTTATGTCAAATTTCGTCACGATATTTTCTTTCTCCGCCAAACACGTAGTAAATCAGCGCTTGAAATTGCAGTTAAGTATGTAACTCTTGGAACAAACTCGGGAGCTTCTTACCTACCACGGCCCTCATGGTATAAGAAGTATTAAATAGTTACATCCAGTTCGTTTTGGGCGAGGATATAGTAGGAAATATTAGAGAACATAAATTAATGAACTCTGATAGATGGTATAATCATTACCATTTCGTATTAAATACGAAACTGAATGTATGAAATTGGATGTAACTATTTAAATATTTCGACGTAAGAGAATCTAACACGACGTTAAAATTAAAGCGGTGTTGGATTCCATGTTGATTCACTTACGTTACCATTACATGGCAAGCAACGTCCATGAGCCTATGTCCCACTTTACACATCATACTTCACATATTTCATCTTTATGAGCCTGTAACAATCCACAGCCGTACTTGGGCTTCACCTATATGCAGAAGCATTTTCGTTAATCATCTCCTTGCATTTAAATTAATCATCACTTTGCCAGGCGGATCAAGGATCGCATCAGAAGTCTCGCACCTTTGACGCCGCTATCCGTCACTAGTCTGAGTATTCCACGTCCGGCGTAACATCTTTCGGAAGCCGTAAAAATATTCTAATGTATCTCATAGCTACCTCTGATGGCTCCCACGGGATGAAATGGAGTGATGGGCTCGATTTTGCTATCACAACATGGCAACCCCTTTTCCCCGAACACCCCTCTGCTCATTTTTTATACTTTTATTTTCTTTTAGTCTCCGTAAAAGAATGTCAGTATTTACACCTAGATCTTCATTCAATGATAAAAAAATATTTCCACAGAGCTGGGCGGTCTTTTAGGGGCAGGCGTGTCCGTACCTCTAGCCGTACCTGGGCATGACGCACAGTACTGGTCACGTCTGCAGTGACCTTGGTGGCACTAGCCGCAGACTCATTAGTGCACTACACATCGTACACACTTCATGCTTCACTTGATCACTCAGCAAGTTGTCTCATCCCTCTAGCTCTAGTGCCCTTTAAATCGTTCAAATACTGTTCCGGGTGTTAAGCACATGTCCCACCGCCAGCAATGAACGAGCAGCTAGTATATCTAGGAACTAGAATAGATAATAATAAATATAAATAATAATAAGAGTTGGCGAGTAGCGAAAAGCGAGTGTGAAGTTCCGATAGTTTTGTCGCTGGGCTATTAGGCGAATGTACGAGTTGTTTCTAAATACATACAAAATGCGTGCACTCAGATCCGCACTGAATGACCGCTGGTTGGTCTATCGGCGTGCGTACTGACCGCCAAGCGAATATGGGTGAGCAAGTTTTATCTTTGATAGCTCATGACAAACCATAGTTCGTGCCAAATCGATTGAGAAAAACGGACATTGACCTTTCGGTCGTTTAACCACGGGCTACAAACCTTCGATATATATATGCTCTTTTTATATGTAGTACTTTCTTTATTTATAATGATTTTTTTATTATTAGTTTTTATAATGATTGATATAATATATATTTATTAACCATTATAAAAAGTTATGTAAAAGATCGCTGTAGAAGAAAAATCATCTATTGTTATGAAGTACTTTATTCATTTGACAACAAAAAGCGTTAATTTATAACACATATAAAGATTCGAGTGATAACGACACCGAATAAGTACGTACTTATTCAAAAGATAAAACTTTATTTTCAATATTATATAAGAACTTTATTTTTATTCCGTGCATGCGGGCCGGCCTAAAAAAGTGACGCATCTCTGGTTGCCATTGTCACGTTTCTTTTAGAACGTACTAACGTAACGCGCGTTTTGTTTATTTTAAAGGGATGAATTTGCAAAAGCTCAATATGGTGATTATATTGCTTTAAATATTTCTTTTAATATAAAACTGTTATTAAATGAATGGCTGCGTTACTTACCATAAATTGAAATATAAAATATAACACGTTTTTCTCGATGTACCGTAAGATTTTACGATGTTTATAGGAAACACAGACAATTTTATTTAAGAAACAAAAAACAAAACATACGTGCTGACCTAGAAGTGTGAATAATATCAATATTTAAATATTATTATCACATCTAAATTGAGATTTTGTAAGTTACACCTTTTGACACTCGGCTCATATCTGAGGCATCGTCCGTTTTTCTCAATCGATTCGGCACGAACTATAGTGGGAATAGAGTTCTTGCCTACAATGTGAACATCCAGCGATCAACTATCAATATATGTGTTGCTTTTATTGACATGGGATCTATATCTACTGTTCGTTTCTCGAGCGATAAAATATTCGATAGCTAATCGCTTGACTGTCGGCGGTGGACAGTGCCTTAAGCTGTCTTACATTAAAATAGGACCAACACTATCAGTTGGATTATAACATGTTTGTGAAAATTAAGGAAATATTAAAGGTATTTGTTTTCATAAAACCTGCAATAAGCTTAAAAACGAATCCTACGCTTATATATTATGTTTTGCCAGAATTGTTATCTTTTTCTTTCCATATAACATACCTCAGATATAAATTTTCAAAACGGTGTTCATCATTTACATTATTTAAATTTAAAAATAGTAATGTAAATGCACATTAAATGAGAAAATAATGTTTTAAATATGTTTTCCAACATTTTATGTAATTAAGGCAATTAAGATTACCTTCAAAATGAGTATCGTCGGCAAAAAAATTGATTGTATTTCCTAAGATTATTTAACGCTTATTTGTCTAACACCGCAAAGTATTAAGAAATAACATATCTATACAAAGAGCAAACAGAGCACAAAGTACAGGCTCAAATTATATTTAATGTAAATTAAACTATTTCATTCAAAGATATTACTCTTTTTCCCTATCGATTAGAATGAGCAACTTTTTCCGAGCCTCATTTATTTCAGTCGATATCTGTACTTATGTGTGCATAATTTTGAATGAAATAATTTAATAATTAACATAGGTGTTATTTTAAATTTGTTTAAAATAAAAAATAGTTTGTAGCTAGTGTAGTTAATTTTAAAATAAATAATTCGTACTGTATATGTTACAAATGTATATAAAATGCCTCCTTAGATACGACACTTCAAAATACAAATCAACTTATAGTTCATAAAAGATAGCTTGATCTCTGCGACAGCTGTCAGTAAAATCAAGCCTATGAAGTCCTGAATTTCTTAGTAGTACAGGCAGTACCTGTCAATGTCATACTTTATGGGCATGCACTAATTAGGTCGCCCATAAAGTGCGACATTGACAGCTACTGCCTGTACTACTAAGAAATTCAGGACTTCATATGCTTGATTTTACTGACAGCTGTCGCAGAGATCAAGCTATCTTTTATGAACTATAGTATCGCAGTAGAAGTTGCTGACTTTACACAAACCGGGACGGTTGCTTTGTTTTGGTTAATGAACTCAACACGATCACAAAATTTAATATTAAAATAAACAAAATGAAATACGCCTTTTTACGATGTTATTTTGCTAGGAACTTATATTTAATTTTTTTTTCATTGTTAAAACATATTTGAACTGCGCATCAGCAAGCATCAAGCAAGCATAACCGAAGGCTGATGATGATGTATAATCTAGTTAATTTAGCATAATTTGCAGCGTTTTATTAACCCAATTAATATTGTAAGCTTAATGTGCAATCGTCGTGTATATGCTTTTATCCAAAAAGTTATAGCATATTTATACATTCCAGCTGCGCAAAAAAAACTGCTCTCTTTTGTAAAAGGCTATGTATCCATAATCAAATTTACTCCTCGCTCTTTTTATCTATCGCTTTTGAAAAGTATTCGTGAAACGAGCTCAATGTTCTCAATTTTTTTCTAAAATCATTGCGCGTATGATCCGGTTTAAATTGTGAGAAGTTACAGGTGCGAGTGGCAAGTGCAACTGACAAAATGACAAGTGCTTGTGCAAATTGTATTCACACTTATCACTTGTCACTGCCTGTTTACGCGCACTAAGTACTTGTCGTTAAGCCCGATTTAATTTTGAGAAGTGAAAGTGAGTGCAATGACAAGTCACAAATGAAGTGCTATGTTAACGGTGACGTGGGAATATAACTTGCCTCAGTTGTAAGTATTTGTGTCAGTTGCACTTGCCACTGACACTTGTCACTTCTCAAAATGTAAACCGGGCCTAAAACTTAAAATACAATATGTTATATAAATTAGATATTAAAAAAACGGGGCTTTGTCCTAT